TAATAATTTTTTTTTAAAAATTAATTTCAATTAATGAATGCAATTAAAAAAAAAATTAATTTCAATTAATGAATGCAATTTCATGTTTATAAACATTGAGGTTGTCAGAACCATAATATTGATTATGAAATCAAAAATTAAGGTTGTCAGAATCATAACATAAACTATGAAATCATCAATGAAAATTTTACTGTTTCAATAAAGTCAAATTTCCAAATATCCTGAATGAAAATGTATGATTGATGCATGCTTTAAGATGTTTAATGTAACACCTCATTCTAATAGTAAGATATTATCCGTTTTAGCCCATAGGCCTCACATATTTGTTCTTGACATCCATGTATAACCTAAAAAATACATTTTACTAGTTAAGATGAGCATGCTAATATAAGACCCTTCCCAAGTAATCACTCGTCGATATGAGATATTACAAATGAAGGCTCGAGCTTTGGCATTTTATTATTTTTGTCAATTCATTACAAATTTTAAAAAATAATGATAGTTATATTTGATAATACATCAACTATTATTTTTTTTTCCCTCGTGGGAGGCCCAAAACACCCCATAAAGGTTTAATCCTTCCCCATTATATTACAATTAATAGGACAAGCATTTTACACTCACCAATATTTAGCCTAATCAAAGCTTAGAGCTTGATAAATCAAATGGAAATATGTAGACTAAATTATCGATACAAGTAATAATTTTTACACTGACAAACAAAAACATACATTAAGGTTAAAAAGTGTCTCAATTTGGCCATAGATCATCAAAAACATAAAATTACCATTTTTTTTTATCATCTAAACCAACCCTTTGAAAGGCTAAATTTTGTTTATGATAAAGTACACTTATAACATATATTAAATAATATTTATGTTCTGATCTCAACTTCAATTTAAAATTTAAATAATATCTTCACCATCCAACAAACTATCTTTGTTGGAGAATAGTAATTTATAAATGTTTCATTTAAGGGAGATTGATTCATGTTAATAAACATATACAATTACTTATAGCCAAGCCAAAAGAGAGGTAGGTGGATAATTTGCCGACACAGAATTAGATCAGAAGTCATTTTCCTCTTCTAGATTAAAGTGAAGTAACTAGATGAAGATCCAACCTTGTAGAAAAATCTTTGGAATCATGACTTCATCGACTATATACGATAATTAATTGGTCCCAATTATAATGGAAAGTTGAGAAGACCGTCCCGTCAAAACTATAGCCATTAACCAGGCTTATGAAACACGACATGATTGTAAGTACCTGGAAACACAAAACATGGTAGGCAGAGGTTTTTCTCTTGTTTGACAATGGCTGTCCAAAGTTTCTAGACCGAGGGAACCTTGCTTTTTAGGAAACTGTCTGTAAATTAGAATATCGGATTAATTAATTAATGAATGTAAAGTTCTTCTTTTCGTGATTAAATCCTCCTAATCCTTTGAAGACTTGATCGTTTCAGTAGCTATTTGTTTAATCGGTAAAACTTAATTATCAATTAATGAATGATTTCTTTTTCCAAAGGTGTTTTGAGGATAGCTTATTTGTTAATCTTTTTTAAAGACGATTTCAAAGATATACTTCTCGTATCTAAATACATTCCTTGCTTTACTTGTTTGGTTTATTGTGTATGTTACTGTCTCGAAAAATAATAAAAACAGAATGAATATGTTTAATGTTAGTTATTATGGGTAATTATCAACATATTTAAACAAGAAATAAACATGAAGCACACAGTAACCTTGTCCATTTCTTCTTCTTCTTCTTCGAGAAATTATCTCAACTTATTTTTAGATTTTAGATTTTGTCTTTAATTCATCATCTTTATAAATCTAATTAATCGTAATTTATGAGAATATGATGAATGATGCATGAATTCCGAAACTTAATTTTGGTTGTTCATCAGCATAAATATGATGTCAATATATGTTCATATATCTAAATGCCTAGGTGTGAATGAATCGTTCAAAATATTTTAAAATTAATTTGAGTGTTGCCGGTTCCTAACACAAGAAAAAAAGAAAGTATGATCCCCTACGAAACCTTGGCCAAATCTCCCGTGAACTTATGACCCATTTACACTGTTACATTTTCCGTCCTAGAGGCCGACTTCGTCTAGCTAGGTCACATTCTCTCCGAGAGTTGATCATTCACGATAGAGTGAGTTCAGTCTTGCTGTATATATTTATCACCCCCTTCAATTTCTTCATGAACTCAGCCTCTAGAACCCATTCTTTGTTTTTTTCTTTTTTCCTGATTTAAATTTTTTTTCATCTAACTCTCAGTATAGCACGGGTTTATAAACCAATCTTTTCTAAAAATCATTTAACGGTACAAAACATAGTCTTCTCTAAAAAATCTTTGGTATGTTCACATTGTCTTCATTGGAATTTGGGGGTCAACCATTTAAGCTGGCCGGCAGTTGCTGGGTTTCTTGTTGTTTATGTAACGTGGGTGAGCCGTACCTTTAATTTCCTCCCAATTCTTTCAAGGCACCTGCAGAGTCGGTTGTGTGAAAATGCAACATGTTGAACTCTTCCTTGAAATCACCCAAATCATGCAAGTCGTTCCATATGGGAGTCAGGCACAAGTTCATATTCAATTGCCATGGTGTATAATTAATTGAAGTGTGGCAATTATTAATTAATTAGGTAGCTGTTCTTTGGTACCCCGAGTTCTTGGATGCGTGGAAATTTAGGGCGCATGGAAAAGTATTGGGAAAAATATATCTAGAATACTTAGTGGAATTCTTTGGATGGAAATTAATGATGATTTCTTGGAATCTATGTTAATGTAAATATTTATTTGGAAATTAGTATTTAAATTAACTTCATTTATGTGTGTTTTTCTTCTTTTTTTCCGACTAAAACACAATGGCTGATTTTTTGGTTTAATTTCTCCTGATATTTAATCTCCACCTGTTCATCACTCATTGGTTCAATTTACCGACAGATAAGGTCAACTGGTCAAGGTCAAGGGCCAAGGAGTGATCAAGACCTATTATAAAATATAAATATATAAGTAATAAAAAGGCTTTTGTTATTAATCTTTATATAGAGCCCAGCATCAAGAATTAATTAATAATTGCTTGCTGGCGTTGAATATGTAGAACGATACTCTTTTGGGTTAATTAATTTTTATTTATTTTCCTACTTTTATATATTTTCTTAAAAGTTTTATCTTAACTAGCATGCAACTTTGTTGAATCTTTTTACTTTCAACAGAATTTCCTCATCGAAATCAACATCTCAAGAATTTAATTTATCCCTTCTTTAGAAAAGGCTAAAGTTATAATTCCTATATTATTCTTTTTCATAGCTAAGATTGAATTAAATCTTTATTCACTTCTTAAATCTCAAATCACATCCTATAAAAATAAAAATGAAATCCCAAACAAATTGATGTTCCATTCAGGTGGTTTAGAGGGTTTTAAAGGAGATGAAAACTAATTTTACATGAGTAATCAGCAAGGTCTTTTTTTTCTGTTTATTATTAATTTATTTTATAATAGAGTTTTACAAAAATATTTAAAGTAGTTAAGCGTGTGGATTGTAAAGTTACTCATCTTACAATATTTTTATTTTTAAACATGATTTTTCTCACATGTAAATCTGCAGGAAAAAAAAAACTAGATCATAGTTGTATCCTTGTCCTTTATGGGTTTCTTCAAGAAAATAATTATGATTTTTAAAATTCAAATCTGCAGAAAAGTTCTTTTTTTTGTAATTTGGACCGGTTCAAAACTGAAACCAGTTAGATCAATACTAAGTTTTAAAATAACGGTAATAATATGGAAATTGTCGAAGGTTGCTATTGTTAGAAGAACAAGAACTTTCTGCAGATAAATTCTAAAAGAGTGCCAGACTGGGAACCTGCCCCTGTAAAAGCAAACAAAAAGTCTTCGAAATTAGTTTCAAGTTGGCACATCAAACATTTCAATCCCGCGTCTGCTTAACTTCCGCTTTTTGTGTCCAAACGTCATAAACAAGACCCAAGAACAGAAAATGAACATCATCTTGCACTCTAATGGCTCTCCTTAAGGTAATTTCAAATTACTTCAAGCACATTAGAATTTTCCATTTTAATGGTTTATTTGGTTAGAGGTTCCTATTGATCAGGGGCCAGGCACGAGTTGGGTCAATAAAAAAAAACCTTGCTTTTTTAAAGTTATATCATTTTAATTTTTTTTAAATAATAAATTGATTCAAATCAATTCATTTAGGGTGACCAGAAGAATCCACCTTTCATATCAAAAAGTAATATATTTTTTGGTTGCCTAAAAAGCTCTCTATATATATATATAGTTTAAAGGGATTAATAATGAACAATCAAGGGAAACTAATGAGAGCACACTAAAATTTAAGCAACTGGTTTCTAAAAACTAATGGCGAAGGCATTATGCATATTTATATTTTAAGGACTTCTTTTTTTCCAAAATTAATATTTTAAGAATGTATAGTTGGAATCTAGACATCATCAACTCTCAATCATCCCATTGGACAAGTGCCAATTGGTCTCGTAATTATCACTTCGCATCATCTCTTAGTTCTTGTATTATTATAGAGTGAACTTGGGATCAACTCAAGACTATCTTTTTTAATGTCACGACAAGAGAAAACCATTTCCTTAAGTATTCATTGCCCTTAACTTGTTAGGAAATGAAAGAACATGGAAAGTTAGCGACACGGGGCTCAAAGTCTACGAGATAATTCACTGGTCAACACACCATGAAGCTTCTTGATCTTGTTTAAAAATTTCTAACCTTATAATTCAATCCATTACTGGAGCCATAGTCCTTGACCTTGACATGCTCCATAAGAATTTGAAAATATTTATTCAACTTGTAAGGACGTGAACCATGACTTTCTTGTGCTCTTTCCCTTTCTTTTTTTTTTCTCTCTCTTTATTTTATATAGATGAATGTGGACACCTTAAGATTCTTATAATTCCAACTTGATGTCGACTCCTTGTTATTTCCTGGGGCTTTCCTTACAAACCAAGCGCCATTGTTGATTGACAGGCCAATCTTTTTTTCTATAAATATTGAAGCATTCTTGTGTGTTTCTCCCATTCACTTGACCAACTTCAGACCATAGTGCTAATCTCTTGCTAGGAACCTGATTATTATTTGTCTCAAATCTTCTTCTCCTTTTCTTGTATTAAGTTTATAGGTAGCTTCTTCAAGAAAGAGAGTTAGGAACTCATCAATGGATTCATCATGGGTGAACACGTCTCTTGATCTCAACATCAATCCCTTCAAGCATGTCAATGAAACTCAAGCTCAAGTAAGTTCTTCTTCTTCTTCTTCTTCTTCATTTCGGATATCCTCGGATCAGCTTTCGGTTCTTCGATCTTTCCCTTTTCTTTTCTTGGATTCTAGAATTCTCGAACTAAAAGAATTTTTAACTTTCTTTTGAATCAGGAGATCAAAGAGTTTGAGGGATATTCAACTAGGTTTGAACAGAAAGTACAAGTTAAAAAAGAGGTCAGTTTCTATTATTTTATATCCTGTGAAGGGTGATGAGCTATATATTGTCTGGTCTTGTCTTCTCCAAGTATTGAATCAGAAACTTGATGATTGTTCACAGGCTGGTGTTAGTGCTCTTGTTGAAGAGTTAAATAGGGTGAATAGTGAGAACCAGAAGTTAACAGAAGTGCTTGGTGTTGTATGCGAAAAATACCTGAGTTTGCAAAAACATTTAGCTGATTTGACGAGCAAGAATTCAGAAAAAGAACTCATGAGTACACCAGTAATATCAATGAAGAGAAAGGCAGAGAGTGAAGATTATAGCAACGTGATTAATGCAATCAATGGAGGAAACACAGAAAGTAGTTCTAGTGATGAAGACTCAAGTAAAAGGCCACAGGAGAATCTGAAGACAAAGATTTCAAGGGCTTATTTTCGGACTAATGCATCCGATACAAGCTTGGTAAGTTCCTTCTTGATTAACATTTTACTTGCTTGCTTGTGATGTGATTGATTATGAATAAAACTTTGTTGATAAGGGTTTATTAGCCTTCTTTCTAATATGAATAAACTTGTTTTGTGTTCTTAGGTTGTGAGGGATGGCTATCAATGGAGAAAATATGGTCAAAAGGTTACCAGAGACAATCCTTCTCCTAGGGCTTACTTTAAGTGCTCATTTGCCCCAAGTTGCCCTGTCAAGAAGAAGGTAATTAAAATCACCCCAGTTCTTATGATTATTGCTTATGATTAGAGGGATATTTCAGATTTCTTATGAGAGATTTTACTTGGTTTTATTTAGGTTCAAAAAAGTGCTGAAAACCCTTCAATTTTGGTAGCAACTTATGAAGGAGAGCACAACCATGCTAGCCATTCTCAACCTGAACTATCATTAGGTTCAAGCCAAAGTTCTAGTTTTGGTCCAGTTCCCAGTCCATCATCCATCAGAACTTCAGTTCCCACTGTGACCCTTGATTTGATCCAAAGTGGAATGCATGTTGACAGTGCTCAAAAGACTGTTCAAGAAAATCTTCAAGTGCCAGAAGTTCAGAAAGTTTTGGTCCAACAAATGGCTTCTTCTTTGACAAGGGATCCAAATTTCACAGCTGCACTGGCAGCTGCTATCTCTGGGAGATTCAACCAGACTCGGATTGAGAAATTGTGAGGTTGAAAACACTGCTGTTGTAGAGAATTTAGAGTTTTTATAGACACTATGCATTTTTATATGTAATTTGGAGAGCATTGAGTTACGTATATATATAATATAAGTTTGAAAAAAAAATTAAACGAAAGAGTTTAATTAATTCTTTTATTAGCTCCTCTGAAGTACTTTTAAAAGATGATCAATCATTTAAGTGATGATAGATAATAAAACAAGCTAAAGGTAGAATATTGTATTAAATAATTTTAATTTTGATGGGAATTGTTTCGTGAATGTAGCTCGTAAAGGAGTCTAAAAGTTTGTTTGGTATTGTGATAGCTTTTATGATTTTAGTTTGAAAAAAATTATTTTATAAAAAGTATTTTAGATTGATGTTGATTTGGTATTTATATATATTCGGTTAAAATTGTAGTTGATATTAAGGTAAAATAAAATGTAGTTTAATGTGTTTGGTTAAGAATGCTTTTGAAATTAAAGTTATAAAATAATTTTAAAAAATATATGTTAATATTGATAGTTTTTAATTTAATTATTGTAGATTAAATATTGTTATTATATCATGAAATTAATAATATTTTATATAAAATATTTTTTATTATTTTATTATACTATCTACAATTCAATCATGTATGAAATACATCCAACAAGGACTACAGTTTTTTTGGTTTCTTAAGCCGTGTAACAATATCATGTAAAATATAATCAAGAACAAAATCAAGATTGCGATCAAATTCTACAAATGCTACAATGTAACAACATCATGTAAAATATAATCAAGAATTTGGTTTCTTAAGCCGTGTAACAATATCATGTAAAATATAATCAAGAACAAAATCAAGATTGCGATCAAATTCTACAAATGCTACGTCATCAAGCGATCTATGTCTAATTTATGTAATGTCATTAAATAATGTTAAACACTAGTGTTTTAATAAAATATAATTAAAAAATAAAAAAATATTTTTTATTTTATTAGGTCGGACTTGGTTCAATACATTTTGAGTTTTGAACCGGACCCGGTCCGCTAGAATAATGGAGCATGCTTCCATTATTCACATGAACAGTTGAGGATGTCTCATCTATTCACTGAACACTATAACATGCTATATTGTTCACTGACCTAGCTGCGCAAGAAGCAACAATAACTTGCTTTTCTTCCCCTGCATTTCAAATACGAAAATATTGTGGGACCCAGCAATAACTTGCTTTCCTTCCCCTGCATTTCAAACACAAAAATATTGTAGGATCCATAAACAGTGAACTATGTTTTTTCCTTTACCAAACAAGTTGAATTTGTGTTTTAAGCAAAACACATACGCAACCTTCTAAACAAACGCTATTTAAATTTGTCAAATGACTAGCCTATTAAAAACAAACAATTATTGAATTAAGTTGAAATTCAATAATGAGATTCTACCATATTCCTTGTGAGATCTCCTTCACCACCACCACGACAAACTCTCATTTTCATTACTAAAGATAAACATCTTTTTTCTCTTCATGCATCCCATTTTCCTATACCTTTCATACATATTCCCATTAGCCCAAACCAATACTTTTTTTTTCCTAAAAATCACTCCATTTTTCTACACACCACATACTCAATTTTTACACTCAACATCATAGTGATCTTTAAAAGTTTAGGAAAAGAGAACAGATATCTAATATCTTGTTGTTAGAGGGGAAAATTTCTGGTTAAAAAAGTCATCACCTAGTATTACAGTCACTAAATAGCATAATCAGTCAACAAAAATTATATGGTACAAGACTAGTTACGCAAAAAAAAAAGATATTATCACCCTTTATGCATCCTACCAGAGGTAAGTTGCATTGTTGATTTTGTCTTAAATTGTTAAGGGTTTGTTTTGTTTTGTTTTTGATGGTCTGTTTATAATATTTCTGAATCTAGTGGCCAGTGGATATTCAACTATGAATACTTTCAACTTTAGTATTGGTAAATATTATGTAATCCAAAAAAATATGGTATTTCTGACTCTAACACCGATGAATAAACTGGTAAAATTTGAATTGAAAGCAAAACATATTTTTTATTGTTTTTTTAGAGGAAAAAAAAAGAAAAGACAGATATGTATTGCATACTAGATTCACATTTCATATTATAAGTCTACAGTTCAATATTAAGTAAAGCCGTCCAAAAAAAGTAAGAAGGACCCACAAATAAATTCAGAAGGGTATCAATTTTTTTTAAAATTTTATAATATTTAAAAAGACCTGATTGACTAAGTATTAAAATAAAAAAAAATGAAATTAAAGGAATATAACATAAGAGTGTGTTTTGTCAAACACACCCTTAACTCAAAGACAATTGGGTCGGTTGGATGTAAGGCCCTAGCCTAGTCAAATCTTAATAGTTTTGTCTTCTCTTCTTTTGTAGACTAGATCTAACCCATCTTGTATGGCTGGGCTAGATCCAGCTAGGCTAGCCAGGTTATTATCTCAGCTCAGTGACCAAGCCATACTATATCGAGTATCTATGAATTAATTCATGGTTGCTTTGCACGGTGAGAAGGTAATTAAAACGGAAAGACATGAAAAAAAAATTACCTAGTGAGCTCATGCTAGAAACAAAAACATGAGGCAGTGGTCTCTAGCTAATTGGGTGGCGCTTCTTAATAGTTTTGTCTTCTCTTCTTTTGTGGACTAGATCTAACCCATCTTGTATGGCTGGGCTAGATCCAGCTAGGCTAGCCAGGTTATTATCTCAGCTCAGTGACCAAGCCATACTATATCGAGTATCCATGAATTAATTCATGGTTGCTTTGCACGGTAAGAAGGTAATTAAAACAGAAAGACATGAAAAAAAAAATTACCTGGTGAGCTCATGCTGGAAACAAAGACATGAGGCGGTGGTCTCTAGCTAATTGGGTGGCGCTTCTGTGATGGCCCTCCTTTTCTTCTCTCCCTTTCTTCTATGTGTTGTTGTTTCTTTTGTTCTTTTTTCTTCTCTCAATCACCCTTTCTAGCCCCCTTTTTTTTTTTTTATCTCTATGTTTCTTTTTGTATTTAGTTGGTCGGATAAACAACCTATAATGAAGGAAAGCCGAAGTTACATTGCTTGAGTTCTAAAGGAAAGCAAAAGGTGTATCTAGTTTCCCCCATCTCTCTATGTTTTTTGTTCGTCACCCTCTGTTTTCCTATGGTCCCTTTTGGTTAGTTGCATTTCTCTGGCTTTTATAGGGTGAGAGAATACCCTGGTTGTTCTTCTTATCTTCCTAGGATAATAATCCTAGGAATGGGGATAAGCATGGCTCATTCATCCGTGTTTGAGGAAAATAAGGGACCATCAATCTTGTCATTGCAGAACTGTTGGCGACAACCTATCTTGGCGTTTGGAGAAACACCATGTGGATGAGGGATACTGAGGCAGCTAGCAGGTTTAGTAGGAGATGAATTTGATCCACGATTTGGATCAGATTTGGTGCAATTTTTTTTTCTTGTTGAATCAATCTTTCCTAAGAAAGAAATAGATGGATAGTGGATTTAGAAATTGTGTTGTTTTCTTGAATGAAATTGCTGTATTTTATTTCCACATTGAAGTTTTATCATTTAGTAATTGGGCTCTTATTCATGGGAATCTTTCTTTTTTAGGTCCTGTTTATTTGCTTGAAAATAGTTTTTTTTTTAGAAAGTGGTTATTTGGAAATTGAATTCTTGGGAAGTAATTTTTTTTTTTCCTGATGTTTGGTAGTGTATTAAAAAATAAGTTAGAAAATATTTTTCATTGTTTGACTATGTCTTAAAAATAACTTATTGATGTTTTATTTTTTAAGTTTATTAAAAGAATGAGAAATAGATCTTAGAAATTAAAAATTTGAATAAGAATAAAATTAAAAAAATAATAATTTCATAAAAATTATCTCAAATAAAATAAATAACAATCAAAATAATAAAGACCAAATCTAACAGATAAAAAAGTTAAAAGATAATAAAATTAAAAAAATTACAATTTCATAAATTATAATTTAGATAAAATAATTAGCAATTAAAAGAATGAGAATCAAATATGATAGATAAAAAATTTTAATTAAAAAAAGGATAAGAGAAAAACAAATAGCAATAAAAAAAGAGGACCAAAGTTGATATAAAAATCAAATTCTAAACGATGAAATTAAAAAAAATTCAAAACAAAATATATAACAATCAAAAGATTAAAGATTAAATTTGATATAATCAACAAAAATAATAGGATATTTTTTAATTTCTTTTAAAAATATCAAAGAAATTTTGTTAGCAATTTAGCATATCAGCAACGTCAACAGAATTACCAATAAAAAAAATTATTCCATTAATTTTTCCATCTAGAATTACTAGATGAAAATTTTTATCATAAATTTCATCCATAAACCATGATAGGATACTTTTCATCTATATTTTCATTGTTTTATATTTTCAATTCTCTAGTAGTGGTTAAGATTAATCACCAAACATCAAATGATTAGTTAATTTGTGATATACACATTTGGATCACTTATAATATATAGTAGCAACTAGCATCAATCAGGCTGATGAACTTGTGCTTCCTCTTCTATTATTTATTATCTAAAGTTTAGATCTAATATGATTAAAAAAAATTAAAGGAAAATATCGGTGTTTAACGCAATGAAGATTAAAAGATCTAGAGTCACTAAGCTAGTAATGCGTAAAGATGTAGGGTTTGTGCCCTAAAGAAACTTAAGCCATTTCTTTGAATTTAAGAGCCATAATTTAACTAATATAATGTCATGTTCTTGTGTTTGCCATTCCTTTTTTTTAAAAAAAAAAATTCATTGTAAAATTTCATTATTTTATATTTTTGTTGATTTTGTTTCTTCAACCAAACACATGAATGTGTTTTCTATGTGTTTTAAATAATATATAATATTGATAAAATGCAATTTAAATAGGAGTAATTTCCAAAAACAGGATAATATCTTAACAAAATGTTCATTGACATTGTTGTGCTATTATTGCTCCGTGGATTGAGTTAGGATTGATGAACGGTGCTCTCTTCCTTTCCAAGTTCCATTTTAGTCAGATAGTGATTAACAGCAATATTATTCAGAGATCATCGTGCAGCCAGTGTAGGCTTAACTGATTTGCCGAAGGATCCTAATTCAAATTTATCTGCTT